CTGCTTCCCCCAGCTCTCGCGAGCGGGGTGGGCGGCGGTGTGCGCTCAGGAAGAGAGCTTCGGAGGATGGGTCCGGGGTTCCGCCGATGAGCCACTGCCACATGCAGCTCAGGCTGCGGGGTGCGCGGGGAAGTGCACGCCCTGCTCACGTGTCCCTCCGCCCGGCGAGTCCCCCGCCGCCGTGGCGACTGTGACCGACCGTGAACCTGGGGGAGACGTCTAGAGGAAAGGCCAGTTCCAGGACTTAGAGAAGGTTGCGTATTCGGAGCTCTGGGCAGAGATCTTCAGGTTGGCCTCAGACATGGGCCTTGAGCGCACCACCATGCCTAGGGTCCTGTCCCACACGACCCTCTCCAAGGCCCGCGGGTTATGTTTTGACGAATGGAAGTGGCGTGGCAACAAGAGGGCTGGTGAGCTGGCCAAGCTTGGTGCCAGCGCACATCCTCACAACCCGAAGTCTAGGAAAGAATCTGATGACTTGGTTCCGCTGGTAGAGCTGTCTGCGTGGCTCGCTGCTGAGACCATGGAGGACCTTGGGGCTCGGTCTTCTCCCGACGTGGCTCGGCTCCGACGGCCCAGGCGGGCCACGCCAAGCCTCCTGGAGCTTCTCCCCGACCCCAAGGGCCACGAAATCCAGAAGCTCCTCCTCCTCCTCCTCCTCCTCCTCCTCCTCCTCCTCCTCCTCCTCCTCCTCTCAATCACGTCCGGCCACCTCCCCCCCACCCAGCCCCTCCCCGCCCTCGTTCTCCTCCTCTTCCCCTCCCGTCCTCCTCCTCCTCACCCCCTCTCTTCCTCCCCAATCTTCCCATCTCCCCATCTCCTCCTCTTCCTCCTCCTCCTCCTCCTCCTCCTCCTCCTCCTCCTCCTCCTCCTCCTCCTCCTCCTCCCCTGGGCAGGTCGTCGCTTCCTGTGCTTGAGCTGCGGCGGGAGCGGCAAATCCCGCGCCGCAAGCCTGCGCCGCCCCCTGCGGTGGCCCACCGAGGGCTACCGGGACCGGCCACGCCTCCCACAGGACGTGGCCGACGGGCGGCTGGGTCGGCTGGTGGTCGCGCTGCGGTGCCCCGGGGAGCTCTCGGTCCTGACATTCAACAAAAAACAAGGTTTAAATTCACAAAACAAAAGAAACAACCAGACAATTCAAAAAAAGCAGTTCTTGAATTCAAAGACCCGCTTTTTGAATTCTGAAACCAATTTCGTGAGTTCAGAAACCAGCCTCCTTGGCCGCCCGTGCAAAGGAGGTCCTGCCACTCGCCGCTCTGCGGGAAGCTCGAGGCAGCCGAGATGCGGCATGGATCCCAGTACGCATGCCGGATTTCGGGAACACCCCGAACCCAAAAGCGTTGTCACCTCTCGGGGGCGCACTTCTTCACTGCCGCCACCTTCCGCCGGCCTTCCGCCAGCTTCCGCCGGCGGAGGCGGCCTCGTTTTACTTCCGCCGACCTTCCGCCGCTCTTCCGCCGCGGAAGGCGACGACAACTCCCTCGATCCTCGCAGGCAAAGCCCTCTCCGGCGGAGGCGGCCTCGTTTGACTTCCGCCGACCTCCCGCCGCGGAGGGGATGACAACTCCCGCGATCCTCGCAGGCGGCCTCGTTTGACCTCCGCCGCCCTTCCGCCGCCCGTCCGCCGCGGCAGGGGATGGCGACTCCCTCGATCCTCGAGGGTAAGGCCCTCCCTGGAGGAGGAGGAGGAGGAAGAGGAGGAAGAGGAGGAGGAGGCGGAGGAGGAGGAGGACAAGGAGGAAAAGGAGGAGGAGGAGGCGGAGGAGGAGGAGGAGGAGGAGGAGGAGGGGCAGGAGGAGGAGGAGGTGGAGGGGAGGAAGGAGGGAGGAGGATGGGAAGGTGGCTGGAGGAGGAGGAGGGAGGAGGAGGGGGAGGGGGGGTGAAGGTGGCGAGGAGGATAGGAGGGGGAGGAGGAGGAGGAGGGGCAGGAGGAGGAGGAGGAGGAGGAGGAGAGGAGGAGGATGGGGTGGCGGTGTGAGGAGAGGAGGAGGGGGTAGGGGGAGAAAGGTGGGCACGTGGAGGAGGAGGGGGAGGAGGAGGAGGAGGGTGGAGGAGGAGGAGGAGGAGGAGGAGGGAGTGGGGAGGGGGAGGAGCGGACGAGGAGGGGGACGAGGAGGAGGAGGAGGAGGAGAAGGACAAGGAGGAGGACAAGGATGGGCAAGGCCCTCCCTGGAGCGCCCCGCGCAATTCCTACGGGGGAGTCGGTGCCGCTCGCCGGCCGTCCGCCGCGGCAGGGGACGGCGGCTCCCTCGACCCTCGAGGGCAAGGCCCTCCCTGGAGGAGGAGGAGGATGAGGAGGAGGAGGAGGAGGAGGGGAGGAGGAGGAAGAGGAGGAGTGAGGAGGAAGAGGAGGAGGAAGAGGAGGAGGAGGAGTGAGGAGGAGGAGGAGGAAATAGGAGGAGGAGGAGGAGGTGGAGGTGGAGAGGAGGAACAGGAGGGGAGGTCGAGGAGGAGGAGAGGAGGAGGAGGAGGAGGAGGAGAAGGAGGAAGGAGGAGGAGGGAGGAGGTAGAGGAGGAGGCAAAGGAGGAGGAGGAGGAGGAGAAGGACAAGGAGGAAACTGACCCTCAGCGATCCCTCGATCCTCGGGCGCTCGTCTGGACTCTGTGCAGGGCCGGGCGCCCCAAGGGGCTGACCCCCTGCCCCAAGTGAGTGATGATCAAGTGATGTCTGCGGGGCCTGCAGCAGCTTTGTTGCAAAGAGGAACCACAGACAAGGAGAAGGAGGAGGAGGTAGGGAGGAGGGAGGAGGAGGAGGAGGGAGGGAGGGGGTGGAGGTGGAGGAGGGGGAGAAAGAGGAGAAGGCGGAGAGAGGGGGGTAGCATGATGATCATGATGATGATGCTGCTGCTGCTGATGATGATGATGAGGAGGAGGAGGAGGAGGAGGAGAAGGAGGAGGAGGAGGACGGGAAGTACGAGAAGGATAAGGAGAAGGATGGAGGAGAATAGAGGACGAGGAGGATAGAGCGACGAGGAAGCACAATGTTGAAAAGGAAGAGGGGGAGAAGGCCTTCGTGGCATACCAGGCAACGGCCGCACGAATCAGGCATTCAGGAGGAGGAGGAGGAGGAGGAGGAGGAGGAGGAGGAGGAGGAGGAGAGGGAAGAGGAGAGGGAGGAGGACTTTGATATTCTCCCCCGCCCGCCGGGGCGCGATGCAGCTCACCGAAGCCTCGACGGGTGACTGCCGTGCGCAGAAGCGGCGGCGGCGCCGAGGCGGGAGCTGGAGGGCAGACGAGGAGAAGACAGAGGGGGGGGAAGAGGAGGAGGAGGAGGAGGAGGAGGAGGCGGAGGAGGAGGAGGAGGAGGAAGAGGAGGAGGAGGAGGAGGAGGACGACGAGGAGGAGGAGGAGCAGGAGGAAAAGGAAGAGGAAAAGGAAGAGGAAAAGGAAGAGGAAGAGGAGGAGGAGGAGGAGGAGGAGGAGGAGGAGGGGAGGAGGAGAGCACTATGACGCGAGCACGCGCCCAGGGCGGCCTGGACCGGAGGAGGACGAGAGAGAAGACGAGGAAGAAAGAGAGGCAAGCAAAACAGAACGAGGAAGCACCAGAAGACGAGGAAGCACAACACAGAAGCGAGGAAGCACAAGAAAAAGACGAAGCACAAGAAGGGCGACGAAGAGGACGAGGAAGCACAAGAAACGGGGAGGTCGCTTGAACTCGCTGCTGTACACCACGCCGCGGCGACGCCTGCCGCTCGGGCGGAGGGGGCCGCGCGGGCCACCGCGGAGGCTGGCCTCCCGCCTGGCGTCACCACTCTCGCGTGCACAGCAACCGCGGCGATCGAGAATCCCGCGTGGCCAGAGGAGGAAGAGGAGGAGGAGGAGGAGGATGAGGAGGAGCGGGAAGGAGAGGAAGAGGAGGAGGAGGAGGAGGGGAAGGTGGAGGAGGGAGGTAAGAGGAGGGTGGAGGAAGGAGGGAGGAGGGAGGAGGTAGGAGGAGGAAGAGGAGGGAGGAGGAGGAGGGGAGGAGGAGGTGGAGGAGGAAGAGTAGGGGAAGGAGGAGGAGGAGGAAGGAGGGGAAGGGGGAAGGAGGAGGAGGCGGAGGAGGAGGAGGAGGAGAAGGAAGAGGAGGAGGAGGAGGAGGAGGGAGAGGAGGGCTACAATTGCAGTGTCCGTAGCCGCGATTCTGGCCCAGCAGGCTCCAGACCTGGCTAAGCACAACTGCCTTTAAGGTAATACGCGCAGGCCTCATGACAGTGACCATGATGTGCTACACCGCGTAGGCGAACAACGGCATCAGGGGCGACACCCTCTACACGAAGGTTTGCGTCTACGACGCTGACGCGAGGATCCAGATGCCGACGGAAACCACGCCGAAGGACAACGATAGCACGTGGCTCCAGGCCCTCGTCAAAGTACATCCGCACAACATCTTCGACATCAGCTATGCCGTCAAAGACTTCACCAGGCCAGTCCACAAGAAACCTTCCACAAGAAACCCAACCCTGACACCCCAGGACGTCTTTTGCTTTTTGGTGTGGGAACTTCACGCTGTCCATCGCAAAAACATCGAAACTGAAGAAACCCAGGGTACCCTGGAGGGAAACAAGGTGTTTCGTGGCATGGGTCCCCACCGTAAGCTGCACAGGGTCTACAAGGCCTCGGGCCACTACACTGCGGAGACCTACACCGTATACCGCCGGGCAGGCCCGGTACGTGACGAGGCGAACGAGTTGGTACCACTCGGCCCCAAGTTCCTTGTCCCTCACAGCTGGTAGATTTGCCTGAACACGGAGAACGACCCGAAGATGCCCAACCCACGGGCGACGTCGAGTGCATCGGGGCGCCCACCAAAGACAAGATGCGCGTGAGCCTACTCTGGCACCACTTGTAAGCCAATCTCTTCAAGGAAAAGTGCGACTACGAGACCACATGCCTGGACGAGATTGTGCTGTAGAGCTGCGCGGTCTGGCATGGTACTTACTATGGCCAACCTGTACTACACGCCGTACATAACCAACGAGGCGTACGAGATCCAGCATTACATCCGCATCCGCGACCAGCTCGGTCGCGTACATCGAGGAATCTAATCGGAAGGTCGACTGCAACAGCGACAACTTGAAGCTCGTGCGCTCCATGGATACGAACATTCAGGACCGCGTCGTCTACATCAAGGACTGGTGTTTTTATTCACCCGAGGGCATGGACACCAAGTACGACAACGTGACGTACCCACATATCAACGAGGGCGACGACCAGGACAAAGAGTGCGACAACGGAGGCTCGGCCATCGACAACTACAATAATGACAAGGACAACGACGACGCCACACACCTGGGTAAGCACCAACGGGCGGCCTAGGCGAGACCACGACCCCTGCAAGATGGCTGCTGGCATGCTGCGAGAAACTACGTCCTGGTGGAGGAGACTCACTCATACGACTCGGCAGTGATGTTGAACTGCGATATGCCATGGGACGTGGAGAAGGAGGACTACGTCACGCTCGAGGGCGACAAAGGCACATCCGCGGTCGAAAAACTCAAACAAGCCACCGCTGCCAAACTAAACGATCGCTGCCAAACTAAACGATCGCTGCCAAACTAAACTTTCGCTGGCAAACTAGATGGAACCAGACGAACGCACGCACATGAAGATACATTACATGAACTACATTGACGACGAGCTGGACCTGCCCATAGAAGTCAAACGCCGTTACCAGCCTACTATTACAGGCTGCGCCAAATACTACGTGGACTTGGTGGAATACCAGGGGAAAGCAAATACACATGACTTCTACGTCAGATACGGCCTACCTTCCCCATCAAGAAGCCACAGCAAGCGTACCTTACGGGCGATACAGCACAGACATACCAAGCGTGCGCGAGGTGGTACCGATGAGGATGACGACTAGGGACAACAAACTGCAAGCGCACTCGGTACTACGATACTGACATGTGCTACCGAAGCCCTGGAGGAACCTACGACATCTTCAGCGCGACGGACGAGGTGCGCCGTGCACTACGCTACGCGCAAGGTACGCCGTTCTCGGCACCGACCGCTCCTGCTGCTGCGCGGCCCCGCTGCTTCCCAGTCCTCATCCCCTCCCCTCTCCTCCGTGGGACTCAAGGTCATTGCAGGACGGCTGTGGTGGCCTCCAACCGGCCGTCCTTGCGTGGCTCGGTCGCGCCCGGCGCCGGCGGCGCTTCGTGTCCACCGCCATCAGTCGGCGCGGCCCCTCGGAGGCTGCGCAGGGGTCCTCCTCCCGCCCCCCCCTGTCGGAACAGGTCCCCCGGTGGCGTGCGCGGGGGCTCCGCGCCCGCGCCGGTCGGGCGCCCGCGCGCGGGGGCCGTGCGCGGGGCGCGGGCGCGGACTGCGGGCAGCCGATGCTGCTGCTGGTGCTGCTGCTGCTGCTGCTGCTGCGAGAGAGAGAGAGAGAGAGGAGAGCTGAGGGAGGGAAGGAACGAGCAGAGGGATCAGCAACAGCAGAAGGATACCAACGAGGGGAGGAGGAGGAGGAGGAGAAGGAGGAAGAAGGAGGAGGAGGAGGAGAAGGAGGAGAAGGAGGAGGAGAAGGAGGAGGAGGAGGGAGAGAACGGCCGCGTCCGACTGGGCGCCGATGACCACAGCTACAGCTACAAAAGAAAGAGGTGATGATGTGAGGGAGGGGTGGAGTAGAGGAGAAGAAGACTGAGGAGGGAGGAGGAGGAGGAGGAGGAGGAGGAAAAGGAGGAGGAGGAGGAGGAGGAGGAGGAGGGGGACGAGGAGGAGAGAGAGAAGGAGAGGAGGAGGAGAGAGGAGGAGGAGGAGGAGGAGAGGGAGGAGAGGAAAGCGGGGCGAGGACAGAAGGGAGGGACACGCGCAACCACCGTCCTCAGTGTGCGCCCAGTTCGGCCCGGCAGCGAGGGGCACCGACAGGTCCTCCTGGCGGCGGGGAGGGAAGGTCTGACCACTCGCGCTCCTGGTGTGCGACGGAGGGGGAAAGGACGAGGAGGACGAGGAGGAGGACGAGGAGGACGAGGAGGAGGACGAGGAGGACGAGGAGGAGGACGAGGAGGACGAGGAGGAGGCGGTGGAGGCGGTGGAGCAAGAGGAGGCATCCCCTCCTTGCCCTCCATCGCCTCCCGTCTCCGTCCCCATCGCTCTCCCCCCAACCCCAAGTTGCCCTCCCCCACCTTCCCGCTCCCTCCTCCCTCCCCATCCCCGCATCCTCCGTGGATTCCTCCTCGTTCTCCTCATGATCCTCCTCCTCCTCCTCCCCCCTCCTCCCGCTCCTCCCTCCTTCCTCCTTCCTCCTTGTCCGCCTCCTCCTCCTCCTCTCTCTCCTCCTCCTCCTCTCCTCCCTCCTCGTGAAACCTCGGGGGGGGGGGGGGCGGCACTGCCCCTGCGGCTGGGGCTGCCCTGCGGTCGGGGCGGCGCCCCGCGGCTCTCCTCGGCCCCTCGCGTGCCTCCGACCCCCTGCAGGCCGGGCCTGGCCCCGACCCTCGCCCCCCGCCGGCTCCAGTCCGAAGCCGTCGAGGGTGAGGACGGGCCTCGTGCCGGCGAGCCTGAAGCCGTCGAGGTCGTCGTTCCCCTTCGGCGGGCTCTCGCCAGGAGGACGAGGACGAGGACGAGGAGGAGGAGGAGGAGGACGAGGAGGAGGAGGAGGAGGAGGAGGATGAGGAGAAGGAGGAGGAGGAGGAGGGTAGAGAAGGGAAGCAGGAGGCCGAGGAGGACGGGGGGTGGGGGAGGATGGGGAGGCCGAGGAGGAAGAGAAGCGGCGGGTGGGGGGTTCTTTGGTGGGTGGATCGGCGTTGGGCGGGGTGACGGAGGACGCGAGGGGGAAGGGGCGGAGGCGAAGGCCGCCAGCACACAAGCACCCATCCGCCAGCGAGGCAGCAACACAGTCAGGCCAGGAGTGGGAGGAGGAGGAGGAGGAGGAGGAGGAGGAGGAGGAGGAGGAGGAGGAGGAGGAGGAGGAGGAGGAGGAGGAGGAGGAGGGGAGAAGGAGGAGGGGGAGGAGGAGGAGCAGGAGGAGGAGGAGGAGGGGGGGGGGGAGGAGGAGCGAGGAGGAGGAGGAGAAGGAGGAGGAGGAGGAGGAGGAGGAGGAGGAGGAGGAGGAGGAGGAGGAGGAGGAGGAGGAGGAGGAGGAGGAGGAGGAGGAGGAGCAGCAGCAGCAGCAGCAGCAGGAGGAGGAGGAGGAGGAGGCGGGGGGAGGAGGAGGAGTCCCACCGTTGCCGATCACCGCGCTGCCCCCCAGAAGCCTCCGTGCGCTGCGCCGGCGGCAGGCGCTCCCGCTGCGCTCCCCCCACCTTTTTCTCGCCAGCATCATCCTGCGTGCCCTCGTCCTCGTCGTCCTCGTCGCCCGAGTCTCCCTCCTTATCAGCCCTGCTCCCTCCTCCTCTCTGCCCCATCCCCTGCTGTCCCACCTCCTCCCCCTCCCCACCATGTGTCCTGGTCCTTCCCGATCCTCCTGCTGCACTGGGAGCACTCGCTGGGAGGGCAAATCCTGAATCTGCGGCATCAGCTGCATGCCCGAATGGGGAACGCCGTTGCACAAACATGCTGACCATGGGAGCGCGAGTACGGGGAGGAATTGGGGCAGCAGGATAAGAGGAAGAACACAAGGATAACGAGGAGGGGGACTCATCTGTGCAGGAGGAGGAGGAGGAGGAGAAGGACGTCGACGGCGGGAATGAGAAGGAGGAAGGAAGGAGGGAGGAGGAGTGGGAAGGAAGAGTCTATGTGACGCGACTCGACTTTATTCGCTTTATTCGTGCTGCATGGTCACTCTAACTCACGAGCTCTTTGAGGAGCGCCAGCACCGCTGTGGGGCTGGACGAGGAGGGGAAGGAGGAGGAGGAGGAAGAGGAGGAGGAGGAGCAGCAGGAGGAGGATGAGAAGAATGAGGAGGAATAGGAGGAGGAGGAGGAGGAGGAGGAGGAGGAGGAGGAGGAGGGAGAGGGAGACTCCTTCCCACATCGATCAGGCGATCAGGGGGGTGACCCCCCTCCCTGTTGTTCGGTTGCACGAAGAGTGCCCCAAAGCAAGCATGACTTTTGATGCGCGGCTCCAGGGGGCCGCGCAAGGGCCACATCCAACCGCGTACGCCGGTGCTGGGGGGGGGGGGGCCCGTGGGCCCGCGCCAAAAGTCACTCCGGCGAAGGGTCACTCTCACGATCTCTCACGCGTAGCCTGTTCCACGAGGAGACAGGAGGAGGAGGAGGAGGAGGAGGAGGAGGAGGAGGAGGAGGAGGAGGAGGAGG